TGGCCCTTAGTCACCACCCGTCAGCTGGGGAAAGGAACTCACCCCCATGACTCAATTTCCAGCCAAACCATGGACAGGTCTACAAGGGAAACACTAGTGAGGTACATACATCTTAGCATCACCAACCATTTGAGATCAAAAGGGCAGAATTTCCCCATGGACAAAGTTCAGCAGGGTTAGGAAGGGAGGAATGAAAATAAAAGACAGAAAGGACGTGGGATAAGTGGTGTAATATTGTGGAGATTGTACTCAATGAACTGTTGAATGGGGAACTGATTTTCTCTATCAACCTTCACCCAATTCACAATACAAAGTTTTTACAAAAGACAGAAAGATAACAGATGTGACCCTCCTTGGACCCTACCCATACTTGGACCCTCAGTTGATCAGGCAGGTTAGACCCATTCTCCGTGGATCACCAGCGAACAGTGCATAGTTTTGTACCCTTATGCCCTTGCTCCCCAAGTGTCATTATTAAATTCACGGCAGGTTTCTCTCATTTTTCTAAGTCATTACAGTGTGTAATGTGGACACTTAAAATTCTATATTTTTAAATGAAAAAGAAATACCACTTATATTTTCAGCTTGCCTCAACCATCACTGTGCTCCACAAATTCTCACCCACGCATTTGAGCTGTGCAGACACACACAGACATAGACACACACACACACACACACACACACACACACACACGGAAGTGTGCTCAGTAAGTTCTATTTCATTGTTTCTCCCTTTTACTGTAAATTAGGCGCAGGTTTACAGAGCAGGCTAATAATGGTCTTACATTCAACAATGCATACACATTTTGTTAATTCATCCTTTGCAATAGCCACCACGTACCATCGCTTGTCCTGCTTCCTCCCTGTGTGTCCTGGTTCCAGTTTCTTTCCTGACCCTCTGAACTCCGTGATTAGGGAATACTGCCCCTTTGGTCATATCTGGTGGATCATTCTACCGGAGGTGAGAGTTCCGTTTCAGACCAGAAGGGTCTTGGAGTCATGTCTACTTGACTGGTAAGCCTGATCTCTTTTATGATTTGAAGCTTTGCTCCATGTTTTCTCCCATTCTATCTGGGACCTCCTAAGATGACCATTTTCAGAGTAGTTGGTAGAGGTGACCAGGGTTGTGGGAACCAATGTTTACATGGGCCATCGGACAGAATTTTTCCATGTCTGCAGAATTTTATCACTTGTCTTTCCTTTGGATGTGGCGAGAACAATGGTTGCAATTTAGATGAGAGATGATGAACTTTTAAGACCCCAGTTGCTACTCAGTGAAGTAGCTTGGAGGCCATTGTCTTTTGAACTATGTTATACCAATAGACCTTGGGTTCCCTGTGACGACATCTTTGATGCCCCCAGGCCCAGAGACTTACTCCCTCAAGGAGATAGGTTATGTCTAATAAGGATTTATAATGATGCCTCCTTTATGCTCCACCACATTCATGGATGTATTGTCAGCAAAGGTAAATACCCACGTACAAATCTCCTCTGTCAAGTCTATATATATCATTTGTGTGTGTACTCCCACGCTCCTTACTACACCTGTTAGGCTGCTTTTCTGTCTAAGCATCTACTCCTAGATCGCCACTATGGCAGGAGTGTGTATGTAACAGTACCTGCTTCTGTTGCCTTCGCCTCTTGCAAACCTCCGAACGTCTTCCCCTGCCTCCATCACTTCTTTTTTAACCTCCTTCCCTCCCTCCCTCCCTCTTATTAGAGATGAATACACATTTACACCCATCTATCCTCTAGCCTGTGAGTTTCCCTCCTTCCTTTGCCCTTTCACCCTTGGTAGCCTCAAAGTATGTTTATTCTAGTGTGAAAACCTACTCATGATTTGTGACAATAATAGTCTCATAAACTATTTGCCTTTTTGTGACTAATTTCACTTACCACGATGTCTTCTAGGCTCATCCATGTTATGAGGTGTTTGGAAGATTGCTTGTTATTATTCATGCATAGTCTTTGATTGTGTGCATGTACCACAGTTTATTTTTCCATTCCTATTGATATGCATTCAGGTTGTTTCCATCTCTTTTTCCTCTAGTCACATATGTATCTATTCGATGACTTTATCTGTTTAGGTTATGTACCAAGTAGAAAGATTTCTGGGTCATATGGTATTTCTACTACTAACTTTCTAATGGTATTTATTTCTTAAAATCTCATTTGGAGGGGTATAGGCATAGAGGCAAATGGGTAAGTACAAGTGGATACATATGGGAGAGCAGATACAAGTATCTATGTGTATGTATAAATACAGACATATGTGTGAAGGCATTTTTATCATTGAAGACACAATTAAAGATACTCCTCAGCCATAACCACTTTCTAAGACTATTTTTTTGGGGAGTGCAGGATTTGAAGGCTTAGGACAATAGTCTCAAGTTCTGCAGCCTTGCGAAGTGAGTAAGCTTCTGGGGGCTGGTCTTGGGAACAGCCATCATAAATAGAACCACTGGTTCCTGCCCAACAGGAGCAAAAGGCAACCAAAGCCCCAGAGAAGAAAAAAATTGATATGGTGGAGGCCAATAGCCTCCATGAGACACGAACTCATCTACCTTGAGACCAGGAGAACGAGTCCTCCTAGGACCCAACTAGAAGCACTGACTATTCTGGCCAGTCTCACGATAAATGATCCAGAATAGAATGTGAGAAAACTGTATAACAAAGCTCAAATTCTTTAGAAAGGATCGACTAACTGGGCTAGTTGAGACCAGAGCACTCCCTGAGACTCTTGTCCTGAGACACTCTTTAAATCTTGAGCTGAAGCCATCTTGGGATCACCTCTTAGCAAAATAGTAAAATGACAAATGAAATAATGGTTGTTGCTCCTAAGATGCATGCTCCATTGAGAGTCCTTTGTATGAGACCCAGAGGACAGGATTTGCTCTAAAGCTAAGATGAGAAGGGGAGAAAGTCAAGGAAACTAGATTTTGGAAATGAAACCACCAGGACACAATCGAAGGAAATGCTGACACAGTGTGGAATCGAATTACTGCCACTGAATGATTACTGTGGAAATGATTGAGTGGGAGCCTACCTGTTGGGTTAAGCAGAGTTCTGAACAGGTTTGAACGCTGGGGTAAACTCTCACCCCAAACACAGGGATAGATATATAATGTATATTTGGTAGGAAATGGAGCTGCAGCACTTTAATGGGTGCAGGGAATGCAGGATGTCACAGAGCTTGTGATCAGCACGTGAGCTGCACACACAACGATGGGCCCAGCCACAAAGGGGTGCTGCGGGCGTGGCTGGGCAGCTGGAGCCCAAAATGTCCAAGGGGTGATCTTAGTTTCTTATTCGAAATGAGTGGTGGGAGGGAGAAGTGCTGGCCGTGCCTTGTGGAAGCAAGAGCAACCCCATAGCTTTGAAGACCAGATAGAGGGAAATATTTTTTTAAAAAGAATAATCACCTCCCCCAAAGTGCAACTTACCTTTCATAAGGCATGGACCTCGACCATGCTGCCAATTGGTGGTGGGTGCAGTCAACTCAATTCGAATCCCTCCTAGTCTCACAGCACAAGGTAAGATGGGCCCAGAAGACCTTTTACTTATAACTCCTGGTAAGAGAAAGTGACCAGGGTTTTTCTTGCATGGGGCAACTGGTAGATTCAAACTAACATCCTGGTTAGTAGTCAAATGCTTAGCCATTGTGACCTGGGGCTCCTGCTTTCTCTGTTAAAATGTGTCTAGGATGCTACTACAGAGGAGAGCACGTGTTGGTTTGCTTACCTGGTGGTGCTGGTGGTGGTGTGGGACGTCTTCGACTGTTTAAAATGCACCCTGCTCCATCCTATGATACGAATGATAATAGTTCTACTCTTAAATTCTTTTTCCCCAGGAGTGAAAGCCACTACTTGTTATCCATTACTTCAATACATGGATCTCTTTCTCTCCCTCATAAGACTCTGTGTGTGTGTGTGTGTGTGTGTGTGTGTGTTGGAGAGAGAAAGAGTTCGTTTGTGACTGTCAACCCTCTTGAGTGCCAACCTCACAGAAGGGTCACATTTCTTGTGGAAAGTGGCTATGACAGATTTAAATAAAAGGGCTGGTAGGGAGGAGAGCTGCTCACTAAATGACACCATGCACTTACAGGCTGGGCCCTGGCTTCGAGTGGAAAAACAGGGTCAAGGCACAGCTGTGCGGAGAGGAAGGAGGGCAAGCCAGGGCTGAAAGAGCCTTGGTCTCCAGCTCTTCTCACCCTCCCTCCCCGCTCCCCGCAGAGCTTTCAAAATCTAAGTGCCTGTCAAGACCCCTTCCCACCCCTGCCCTTCCTCCCCTTACGTAGATGAGGTCTGACCATTTGAAAAGGCAACTCTGGGTAAGAGAAGGCAACACCCCAGCGGCCTTGAGGGACAGCCCCACGGTGGCAACAATGGGCTGTGGAAATCCATTAGCAAATGCAGAGCAGAATCTGGTCCAAGGTGATAGGGGAGGAATGGTGGTGCGAGGAGATGGAAGGCCAAGGTTTACCCTTTCTTTCCAGAATGTTCTCCTCCCAACTTCATAGCACCAGGGCACAGACTAAGGTTAAATATATGTCAACTCCGACTCCTAGCGACCCTACAGGACAGGGTTGAACTGCCCCTGTGGGTGTCCAAGGGAAAGCCTCATCGTTCTCTCTTTCTCCCAAAGAGCAGCTGGTGTCTTCAAACTGTTGACCTTGCAGTCAGCAGCCCAACGCGCAACCACTAAATCACCAGGGCGCCCTGGACTTCAGTCGTGTATCATTACGGGGAAGGATGAGGGTCTTTTTCTTTTCCTTATGCACGGCCAGCCAGGCCTTTCTCTCATCTCAGAATTGCCCCCGAGACGGGATCTGATAGCAGCATTCTGCCTTGGCAGCCAGAGCTCCGCAGGCGGGGCAGGATTTCTGCACCTGCCCCGGGGGCCTCCCTCGTTCCAGAGACAATCTTTAAGTGCCACATCTTTAAGGACTGAAATGAAAGCAAAAACAGACTTTGTCGTGGTTGAATACGTACTGTATTTAACTTTCTTTTTAATCCCAGAGAAGTGAAATGCAACATCTGTTTGAGTTTATGTAACATCCAATGACGACTCGGAATTTCCTAATTAAAGTCATTTTTAAGGCACTCTGCAGAGCCAGCTTCCTTCAATGGGTTTTCTCCAAATAGCAGAATACCTGGTTTCTCTTTCTTCCAAGCGATACACACATGCTCATGCGCGCAACCTGCTCTTCTGTCCTGGACGACACCGAAAACAGCACAATTCCAAGAGGGAAACAGCATAGGCGGGAAAACACACTCGGTGGGCAGAGAAGATACATACAAGTAAGGGCCCCGAGCTGGTGGGAGCAGAAGAAAAGGAGCAGGAGGCAAATGGAAGAGGGTCTGGCAGGCCAGGTGGCTGGTGGCTAGGGAAAGTTAGGCTGTGTTTCCCAAGCAACTCATCGACATCCAGTCGAATCCGACTCCAGTTTACTTTATGGAGCTGATTCCTCGTTCTCTCTCTTTTCTTCTTTAGAGACCAAGGGCCAATCGACTTAAGGTGTCTCAAAATGTTCACACGTCTATCTGGGTTACGTGTGCTTGCTTGTGCTCATGCACTTGTGAAGGCTGACCTTAGAGAGAGGCATGATTCGGGAGTCTCTACAGAGATTAAAAAATATATATGAAATTCTCACTGGTCCATGACTGTGCCTGAAAACCCCCACCATTCATCACTCCTTCAGATTAAGGCAATCTCTGTAGCCCCTGTGGAAACATAAATGTCACCGGACAGGAGAAGCACTCAGCTCTTTAGCACCCACTGAGGGCCACCTATCAGAGAGCAGGACCCTGAGTGATGGGACCCAGGGCAGGGACATGTTGACTACTAGGGAAAGCAAGTTTGGAGGGATGGGCTGTTGGTGGGGAAAGGACAGCAGCCGAGGAGCAGGGGAGTTACTCAGGGTTGGGGACACAGATTTCCCTAGGCTCTGTGTGTGTGTGTGTGTGTGTGTGTGCATGTGCACAAAGCTGTAGATATGATGGTATTCTGAAGGAGCCCTGGTGGTGCAGTGGCTAAACAGTTCAACCGGTAACAGAAAGGTTAGCAGTTCAAACCCAATAGCCACTAACCCAAGGCCAAACCCACAGCCAGAGAGTCCCTTTGCACCTGTGCAGGGTTCCTGAGGCTGTAAATCATTACCAGAGCAGGTGGGCGCATCTTTCTCCCACAGGTGGCTTTGAACTGTCAACCTCGAGGTTAGCAGCCGGCTGCCTATCTCACAGGGTGGCCAGAGGTCTTTAATCGGGAATTCATTTGGGCCCATCATGACCCCGGTACGGTGACTCTACACTGAGTGAAGGACAATGAATGTTCTCAACTGTTGAGATGGACAGTATAATTACACGTGGAGTGAAACATGGTATTTCCATTGATCTAGATGGTTTGTGTATAGTCAGTGCACACACAGATGCACACACACACACATACACACATGCACAGAATCTCACCCAGCAGTGGAGATCCTGTCAGTGTGAAGGGGAGCCAGGTCGGTTCTCAGACATGCAAGATTTAGACACATAGTGGTTGTTGCTGGGCTGCCGGGGAAAAGGTTGACTTTTGGGCAAAGTGACTCCTTCCTCTGATACCATGTACACCTTCACTCAGTCTTTGTGGAAATGTCCAAGGATTGGCTCAGAAGGGCTAGACGTGGGCCCTTCAGGATTGGGACTGGGAATTTGGGAGACAGGTGGAGGTCAAGATGGAGAGAGAATCTAGCAGGTGGTAGATTTCTGCTTCTAGATAAGCTAGAAATGGAAGAGCAATGCCCAGGCGAGTGCCGGTCTCGGCCACCAGGTACAAGTCCAAGGACTTGCTAATTTCCAAGGATCTGCTCAGGCTAGTGGTTCCATGAGGAGAGGACACAGGCATTCCTTAATAGCTTTTCCCATTCTTGGTGCCCCAGAAAGCTAAGGAACCAAAGGATGAAGGGCTCTGGGCAGAGGGGAGAGGCAAGGCAGAAAAGGCACTAGAAGTGCTTCTCAACGTTCACCTCACCATAGAATTTGGGTAATTTTTCAAAGAACACCGAGGCCGCAGCTCGACCACCAGAGATTCTGTGTATTTGATCTGTGATGGGAACTGAGCAGGGAGCGTCTTTAAGCTGCTCAGATGAGTCTGTGCCGGATAATGTACCAGAGCAGAATGAGGCCGCTAGCTCTGAGATGGTGGCCCTTTAGCAGGCAGTCAACCCCACGTTTAGGGAGAGAAGGGGAGGCCTGATGTGAGGCTGGATGCGGACTCTGCTGACTGGGGCTCCTTCGCAACCTCGCTAGCTGTGATATCTGATCCCATCTCAGGGTGAAGGTGTGGGACAGGGTCCTCCCCACCCCACCACCTTGTTTCTGTGGCTTCAGAGAGAAATAACTCACTGTGCTCTGTGGGACCAGAAGACAACTTCTGGGGCTGGATGGTTCAAAGATAGAGGTGATTTTCTGCTATATAATAAACACAAACTTAATAAATTAATCACTCAGCAAGACAACAAATAAACAGGGAAATAAGACAATGTGCACTGTGTTTTTGCCCTCTCATCAGGAGGTGGGGGGTTCTCCCTTCATGGTGTTGATCCTGGTGATGTCCGTAGACCCTCAGTCACTTGAAGACACAGGCTGGCCATGGCAGGAGGAACCGGAGTGCTTTGAACCTGGTTCCCCAAGCATCAGGGCCGTTGGGGACTTGTGAGAGGGTATTAACACTGGCCACCCACATGGAGAAAGGAAGAAGAGAGGAAATACATATTCTCTTTGTTTCCCATCCAAGAGCGTAGGGAGGGAAGGCAGGGTTTGGGAACCTAGGCTGGGTCATGACAGATGTTTGAAGTCCGGGTTGACCAGCTCTTCATCCTCGGAGGGTTGGGCATGGACTTGAGACCCACTTTTCCCACACACAACAAGGTACAGGCACAACTCCCACTTCAACAGCAGCCTCCCACGAGAACCAGCCAGTGCATGGCGAGTGCATGGCACATGGTGGGTGGGAAGGAGGTACTGGCCATGGGCTGGGAGGACGGTGAGGGGACAGGCAGGATGGCACTCGTTTTAGTGGGGAAGCAGCTGTCCAAGGCTTGAGCGTCTGGAACCATCGCTCGTTTCCTCCTCATCAGTCTCTGCCATGTGGTTCTGCTGGCTAGGCTTGCCTTGTTCTACTAGGAAACCTGTATGCGGACATGGAGACATGTAAATAAAATGGGCATTAAGACATCGATCAAAGCAATTTCATTCTCCAAGAGCAGACGTTCATCATCTGGGCTTCATAAATAGATTTCAGAAGGGCTCTGACCCTGACATTTTAGGCATTTATCTACATATGTATTTCTCTGTAATGAGAAATAGCTTTTACAGGACTCTTAACAAAATTAAACTCAAGTAGATCTGTAAGCAAAACAGCACAGAAACCAGTAAGTAAAATAATGCTCACCACTGTTGCCTTTTTAAGGTGCTTCTCCCCTTGTTCTGATGACATTCCCATTGCCCGTGGTCACCACAAGGCCACAGGTTGGGCACGGGGTTGTAGACCATTCAGGTGTGTGACCAAGTCACAAAGGGGGTTGTGACAATACATGGACATCCCAGACCCCTTCTGGCTTTGTTTCTCAGCTCCCAAAGGCAAAGAGAATGGCAAGAATTGTTTTTGCAGTCCCAGAGCTTCCAAAGAGCCCTGGTGGCACTGTAGGGCTTTGGAATGCTCACTTGATGGTTGGAAGTTCAAACCCACTAACAGTATTAAAACTCTATATAGGGTCACTGGGAGTTGGAATAGAGTTGATGGGAGTGGGTTTGCTATTTTGTTTATCGCTTACCCAGTATGTGTGTGCATGAGTTCAACTGTGCTAATGTCTGTGTCTTCAATATATGTTTACATTATTCAACTTGAATTAATCAATTAAAAAAAAACCTGGTGCCACTTTTCTCTCTTTTTTGCAGGTACAGGTATCTATAAGGGTAAGTAAAAAAGTATTACACAGAATCATAGAAATCTTCATTAAACAAAAAAAAATATCAAAATACAAAATGTTGCTTCTTGATAGCCTCTCCACCTAGGTCTCCACGCTTTTGAAGTGGGTGCTTCCATCCCTCAAGCCCTTCCTCCAAGAACTGGGCTTTTGGACACCACTTCACAAAGGTGGTTTTGGCATTCTTGAAGGGCTCCAAGTGTGCTCCTGTCCAGTGGACTTTGTGTTTGGGGAACAAAAAGAAGTCTTCAGGGGCTAGATTAGGGCTGTAAGGTGAATGGGGTAAGGTTTCTCAGTGAATTCCTATAGAACCACCCTCGCTCCCCTTGACCAATGAAGCAATGCATGGCTAGGTTGGAGACATTCCATGGTGCAGCTTTCCTGGTCTCTTTCTCAGCGATCCAGTTTTCCTAAACTTCTCCAGATCTTTCTTCTCTCAAGGTTTGGAAAGAGTAGAGCCCCAAAAGACTATGATTTTAGACACCTGTCCTCCAGTTGGGGCTGTTTGTAATACAAAAAATCAAACGCAAAAATAACCCAACTTCTTCCTAATAAACTCCCACGATTGTCCGGTGTCCTTCAAGAAAATCTATCAAAATCACCCCTTTGAAGTCACCAAACACAGTGGTCACAACCTTCTCAGTTGACTTCACTCTCGTGAAGTGGAGCTGGTCCAGCAGATCCCCCTTGGAAGTCAGGGTTGGGGTAGGACCCTTTAATTGCAGCCCCCGAGCAAGGCTAAGGCAGTGTGTTACTGTGAGAACATTTGGTAGTTATCACTGATCTCAAAGACACGATTAAACATGTCAGGATTAGAATAAACCCATTCATATATGAACTGAAACCCTCATAGCAAGACTCTTTAACTTACCCTCATATTGCTTTATGCAATAGTTTTGGTCTTAAAGACAAAGTGGGAGAATTTTAAGATAAACAGTATTTTTAAATGTACGAAGGGGTGGCTCTGAAGTAAAGCCACCCTTTGACTATCTCCCGTCTTCTCCTGACCACTCTTCGGTTATGCCTGACATTTTGATGTACTGTGTTTGCTAAAGTGATGTATGGTATGACAATTTTATAGGATGACAAATTCACTCATGCTGTTGCATTTTTTGGAGGTATTTTTGAGTATACTATGATTTCAGTTATAGAACAAAACAAAACCAATTAAATAAGTGTGTCCCAGTTGTTTGAAATTAGATGACTCCATTAGGGGGAGAAAGTCATGCAGACTGGCATTTAATAGGCGAGGAGCCCTTTTAGAAAATGTTCTGCACAGTCTGATGTAGCTGCCATGTTCCTTGGTGCCAACAGTTGCCCGTCTCTTTCCCTGCAACAATGGGATGAATCAGAGACCCTGCCAGTCCTGGGAACTTGTACCGCACACAATGACAGACATGGCAGCAAGGGAGGGAGCAGGCAGATGTGGGTATCTGAGGGCGGAGGCCCGCAGACCACCGTGTCTGCCTGATGCTGATGATCCGGTCTGGGGAGAGGCCTGTGTGGGAAATTTGGAACCCCATGACGATGTGGCTGCTCATCACACAATACAGGGGCTATAGGGTGGAATAGAATTTGGATATTGAAAATTTTTAACTGCATAGTTGAGGTTTGCTATCAGTAAGGCACAGGGAAGCTCAGAGCACTCTGTCAATGTGCCCTTGAGAGGCTAAAACCTCTGAGGGGTGAGGATGGCCCCAAGAATAAACAGACCTTCCCATTTCACAGATGGGAAAGTAGAGGGGCCAAAGGTTGCCATCAAACCAGGGGCCGCAGGTCTCTTAGTGGGTGCATTGCGCCAAAGTCATTGTGGTTGCCATGGGGGAGTAAGAAGGTTGGGAAATACCTACTTCTTGACCCGTAAAGGAAAGGAGATCATTTGGGGGTGCAGAGTTTGGGATCCAAGCGAGTGTAGGGTGGTTTATTCTTTCACAGGAAACCCCAGTTCCCTCTTGATGATGGATCCCAGGGAAACACTTGCTTTGTTTGATTTGGTGAGTGGCCCTGGGAAGTAGCTATTGCCAGGCTGGGTCAGGACATGCTTAAGGAGGGACAGACGAGTCTTTAGATTCTTGATGTATGCACGTGTGTGTGTGTGTGTGTGTGTGTGTGCTCACACATGTGCCTGCGTGCAAGGAGGGGCTGTAGGGTAGTCTCTCAGTCCCTATTCATCTGATATGCATATGCAGAGTCCTTCTTTCTTTCCTAATTAATTAGAAGTAATAGCTTTCCATAGTTTGGGATATGTGAGGGAGTGTGGAGTGGGAAATAATTTAATTGGCTGTCTTGCTTTCAAAGCCCAGTTTAATGAAATGGTTCTCAGCCTGAAGTGCATGTATTATCTTTCCTGTTATTTTTCCAATTAACATTTCATTGGATCACGTCTGTGTGGAATCTTCTAATGGGTTTCAAGGGTGGGGTGATGGGGCTCGAGCAGATGGAGAGATAACCAGCTGTCTCTTTCATCACTAGTGCCTGTGTACGATCTGCTGTGGCTGCAGGTTTGTTGCTGCGTGTTGTCTGGGAAAAGCTCAGAGTGCTTGGCCGAGGTCTTGCCTCGGCCCTCTGTCCATCCTCACTGAGGCCACTAGGCCAAGACCAGCAAAGGTGCAGGCAGAGTGGCTGAGGCATTACTGCAGAGGATGGACGATGGGAGGATGTCCAAGGTGCTGGGCTTTCCTGTGGCGTGTGTCCCTAATGGAGAAATGAACGGCCCTCAAAGCTTCCTGGGGACACCTCATCCTTGAGGGCAGAGGCTCTACTGAGCCTGTGCAGGGCAGACACTCACTATAAGTGTTTACCGAAAGAATGAATATTCAGAGGGATCCCTGCAGTAGCTCCCTGGTTGGTTCTTTTTCTTGTGAAGAGAGCAATTAGTAGAATGGGGTGGGGGTGGGGCATAATGTTTAAGGAGACGCACTTTCTTAGGGTGGTGGGAGTGCAGGACTGGTACTCGCCAGACCTCGAGAATGCTCCTTAAATATTGTGCCCTAAGGGTATCCCTTGCCTCACCCTCATTCCCTCTGGCAGGAAGCCAAGGGGTCCACTCTCAACATCTCACCTGTGTCCAGGAAGGCTGGGTCCTCCCTCAGCCTGAGGCCATCCTCAGTCATTCAGCAATCTCCCCCCGCCACTGTCTCACGCCCACCGTCTGCCCTCACATCCTCCCCAGTGAGGCTCCTGTGGAGCTGGGTCAGAACAGCGTCTTTGCTCTCTCCCCACGCTGGCCAACCTGTGTTCCCTTCTCCTGAGCCTGGGGCTTCGTGGTTATACATCAGGCTGCGATTCTCAAAGTCTGCAGTTTAAAAGCACCAGCCATTCTGAGGGAGAAAGACAGGCTTCCTACTCCCGTGAAGTGTTGCAGGCTCAGAAACTCACAGGGCCAGTTCTGCCTGGTTCTACAGGGTCCTTCTGGGTCAGCATGCACTTGATGGCAAAGAGTTTTTGTTTTGTTTTGATTCAGCTGTTTTAAGAATCAACCTACATTTTTCTGGGTTAGTCAAGGATAAACGTGGGCTTGCAGGCAGAGTGGAAACTCCCATGTGCAGTCTCATGGCCTCCTGCCTAGAGGCTTGGCTTCCCATTTGTCCTGAGGAGGAGAGAGGGTTAGGTTCTCTGGGCCACCTTCCAGGTAGGCCAAGCCACTGCTCTCCTTGCAGAAGGAGAGCTGGGAGAAAGCACAGCCTGGGCAGAGAAGGGGGCAAGCTGCATGGGTGAGCCAAGAGGAATGAGCCTACGGCAGGTAGCAGCAGAGAGAAAGAGAAAGAGAGAGAGAGAGAGAGAGAAAGCGCCATGTCCCTAAATATGCCTCCACTGTGTCAGGGCAGCCTTGGGGTTTGGGGTAGGAAGAGAGATGTCCTCATTGTATTTGTACCCACAGGACTACATCTATAATGTCACCTTCCAACTGTGGGTCCCAGCCAATACCCGGGACACTAGAAATAGTGTGTGTGTGTGTGGGGGGGGACAGGCCAGTGGAGCCCACATAAAAGTCTGTACACATCATTTCTCTCCCTGTGTTTCTTGCCTGAGTCCATGACAAGAAACACGTTTGCTGTCCGGCCTCTGTCATCGGCTTAAACTAGGCAAATCACGCTGGGACCTCACATCGGAACCAGATCTGACAGCAGCCCCTTCTCCTTTCCCAAAGACCTCTTGGAAGTCTCCGCCACATCTTCTATCAGGATTGTGCAGGAGCCCCT